TTGTTGTCCAGGTGTGTGCGTGTGTGTGTGTGTGTGTGTGTGTGTGTGTGTGTGTGTGTGTGTACAGCTGGGGGCAGCAGACAGATTGTGGGTCGGTCCTGTCTCCATAATTTCACAGCTGAGCAGCTTCAGAGAAAAGAGGACGGATGAAGGACTAACAGAGATCACAGCTGTCACATCCCATCAACACACACACACACACACACAGAGCATATTGATCTTTTATTATTTTATTTCACCCTAGAAAGTTACATCGATGATAATTTGAATTTAGAATTCCAGAAGACATCCCACTCTTTCCGATTATTTTCATTTTCCAAGTTTCAGGAGTGATTTGTGACGAAAGGGAGTCGGCAAAAATCAAAGGAAAAGTTTACAAGACAGTGGTGAGACCAGCTATGTTGTATGGTCTGGAGACAGAGACATGGACAAAAAGACAGGAGACAGAACAGGAAGTAGCAGAAATGAAGATGTTCAGGTTCTCAGGAGTGACAAGGATGGAGAAGATTAGGAATGAGATCATCACAGGTACAGCACAGGTTGAACAACTGGGAGATAAAGTTAGAGAGACCAGACTGAGATGGTTTGGACATGTCCAGAGGAGGGACAGTGGTTTGGACATGTCCAGAGGAAGGACAGTGGGTATATTGGTAGAAGGATGTTAGAAATGCAGCTGCCAGGAAAAAGACAGGAGCTCTGTGGATGCAGTTAGAGAGGACATGGAGGTAGTTGGAGTGAGGACAGAGTGAGGTGGAGGAGGATGACTCACCGTAGCGACCCCTGAAAAGAGAACAGCTAAAAAGAAAAAGGTTTTGTTCACAACAGAGTGTGAAGTAAAAAGAAAAGGTCTTCTCCCAGGCTAGGCCAACAGCTGATAAGTCACTAACGATAAGGCATTTTGTAAATCTGTAGCGATTTAATGAACTTTGGTTTTTATGATGCAAGGCGCCTTATTTATCCCGGCTGAGCTGTGACCTCATTACGCCTCTATGATGGAACAAATATAACGACCTGACAGAACATCACTTCAGAACCGATCAAAATATTTCTTCAGACGTAACCGTTCAAAAATAAAAGTAAAATATTTGTAGAGGAGATGGCGTTCAGGCAACACTTGGACTTGAGCACCAGGCATACATGAAACCAGACCCAGTATCCGTTTGTGGGAATATTTCTCACAGCTTCATGATTCCAAATTCTAGGAATACCTCGTGTTGATTGTTCCCAGGGATGGGCTCGGCTTCACGTTGCACCTCTCCAGGCCAAAAGGCGCTAAAGGAGAGAGGTTCTGGGCCATAACGAGCTTGGCTCGTCCCTCCAGGTTCTGTTTATGTTCTGATCAGCAACACCGAGCCCCATTCTTCCCGTAAAAACTGGCGTTTGTTATGATAGCCGACTCCAGCCGAAATCTTTGTGGACTGTGACAGTGAAAACATCACTCCAGGGTTTGAGCCAGCAGGAAACTCGTGTAAACAGAAATTACATCCTGATTTCTGCTTTCTTTTAGTATAAATGTTCCTGTCTGACGTATAAAAACACAACGGAAACAAAAACCATCATTGCCCGGCTCCAAAAGGCCAAAGAGAGACCGTCATGTTTTTGCCTGTGTCAGCAAAGTTTCTCATGAACCACTGGATGGATTTTAATGAAACTTTCAGAGAAGACTCACTGGACGTGCATTTACAACACACTCACTTTTAGACGCGATTCAATTCAAGATGGCCGCTGCAGCTAATCGACTTTAGCAAACACGGAAAACGTCTCAAACGCTGTCAACCTTCTAGATATTAAAGTTGTTATGGGGCGTTTGTCTTCATTCCATCCAAAGTTGGCACATCACTTTAAAATGTGCATTATATTATTTAAGATAATTTTGTAGCATAAGATGATCAGAGTTTAAAACTTTGGCATGAAAAGTGGCAGATGATGAAATTATTTTGGGGATTTTTGAGTCTTTAATCAACATAAAGAAGGTTTTAATAAAAAAAATAAAAAAAGTAGAGTGCATTTTTTTTTAATTTTCTGCTTTAATCCTACAAGATATAATAAGTTGTTGACGTGTTCAGACATGCTGTGTGTGTGCACACGCGGTCTTTAGGGTGAAGGAGGTCAACACAGTGGGAGCTCAGCTGTGGTTTCAGACACTCCGGGCAGAACCGAACCCTCTCTCTGACCCATGAGGACGTTAAACTAACACAAAAGTCAAACGTGAGTGGGAACAGTTCTCAGCCTCCTGCTGATGAACCTGCGATCCGACAACAGAGATACAGGCGACAGGAAGTGGAACTCAGAATGTGTATCACCCTCAAACACCTGAGGTTTAAACTAAAGTCACCTCATGCTGGGAGTCATGGCCGTTTTCATCAAACCTCATGAAAAATGCATTGTGCACTCGTCAAATGTGTTTTTAACAACTTTCAGCTACTACCACACCAGATTTTAGCTTAATGTCTGCAAAAGTGACAGCGTTATCCCCATTTCTTGTTTGCTAAGGTTAGACAGCTGCGGTGGCCATCTTGAATGTAACAAACGTCAAACATTAATTGCTGACATACATCCAGTGTTCTCAAAGTTTCATTAAATTGTGTCACCTGGTTTATGACGTAACACACACACGGCCTATAACATTTTCACCTTTCACTTTTGGCAGCAGGTGATAAACTCGTGGGTGGACAGACTGGACCCACCTTGGCGTTCTGCAGGGGCATCTGGTAGCTGGACGGTTTGTAGAACAGCCTCTGCGGCGGCTCCGTGTGGACGTCTCCCAGAAACAGCTCCTCCACCAGGTGATCCAGGTTGTGATGCAGGTACTGCTTCTCCACCCGCAGCAGCTGCAGCTCGTGCATGGTGAAGTTTAGCTCTTTGGAGCAGTTGTAGCCCCCCTCTTCGTTCCACAGGTCGTAGATCACGCCGGGCTCCCAGGGGCCCCTCACGGCCCCACTGCAGCTGCGGTTAAGCTTCTGGCTCAGCTCTGTGGCCACGGTGGGCGTGTGACACACTATCTGGACGTGATGGACGTGGTACTCTGCCTCCGTGCCCCCCCGGATAATCCAGGAGGCCTGTCGTAAGCGCAGCCGGCCGTGGACGAGCAGCACGTAGGCGGGTTTGGTGCAGTGGTTGTCCTCGTAGTAGAACTGGTGGGCCTGGAAGGTGTTGTTGGGGTAAAACCTGTAGGAACGAGTTAGAAACTCTGGACCGGACCTCACCTCACAGCTGCAACAAAGAACAGAGAAACGCAGATAAACTTTAAGTAACTTTAAGTCCATGTTGTGATTGACAGCAAAGGTCAGAACTGCTGATTTGGTTTAGACAGAATGAGATTACTAGGATACGTCTGTGCTTGACATTGATGTTGACTTGTAGCGTCTTAAAGACACCATGCAGACGTACTAATGAGTAGTTTCTAAGGTGTTAAACAGAATGTTCAAGCTACACCTCCACGGTTTGAAGAAAGTAATCTTTCTGCAAAGCTGCAGTTCAAGTGAGAAACAAACTCACCTGGTGGACACCCAGTGGCCCTTCACATTCGGAGGCATCTGCACCGTGATCCGGGCCCCGTTATGAAGGTGCTTCAGCTTGTGTTGGCACTGAGAGTCTCTGAAGGATCGGCCGAAGGATTTATTCAGAGAGAGATGGCCGAAGTGGCCGTGCGAGTGGTGCAACGAGGAGCCTTCAGCCCAAACTGAGGGAAAATAATTAAATACATATAGTTTTAGGAATGGTTAGAGTCTTGTCTGCCTTAAAACCTGCAAAACTGCAGCTAAAAGCCAAAACTAGCAAAACAGTTGCAAAATGCTACATTTAGCAGAACAGTAGCTAAAAGAACAAACCAGCAAGTGTTTCAACTGGCAAAATAGCTAAAATGGGCAGAACAGCACTGAAAGGTTAAAATTAAGAAAACTGTGGCGAAAAGGCTAAAAAAACAAACAAACCTGAAGCTAAAAGCTAAGACCAGCTAAACATTAGCCAAGTGCTAAAATTAGCAAAACAGTTGCAAAACGCTACATTTAGTGGAACAGTAACTAAAAAGAAAGAACCAGCAAGAGTTTAAATTAGCAAAGCATTAGCTAATGCATGCATCAGGATATTAGCTAATGCTATTGTTGCAGCTGCAGAATAATGAAAAGCTTTCATTAGTACAGTAGCTAAAAGATTAAAGCAACAAAACAGTAGCAAAAGGTTTAGATTCAATAAATATCTAAAACTTAATATGTGCAGAACAGTATAGTAAAACTAAAATTAGTAAAACTGTAGCTAAATGACCAAAAAAAACAGCTAAAAGTAGCTAAAAGCTAAACAGTAGCTACAATTAAAACAGGAGCAAAAAGTAAAAATTAGCAAATCTAAAAAGGTGCAAATGTACAATAGATTTCAAACAGCAGAAAGTTTTGTTTTGTAGTGAACTAGGCCTGAGGTCAAATCCTGACCTTAAGGACCTTATGCCTGGGACAGAAACTGTCATTTCATTGATTTGAATCCAGAAATACAGGTTGACCCATCCTGAGACTTTCTTTC